TGCTCGGGCCGGGCCGGGCTTTCGTTCGGGTTAATTTTAGAGCGCGAGCCCGGCCCGAAAATTAGACATGCTCTGTTTTCCAAGCCTGAACCCGGCCCGGCCCGACCTGGGTTTTTCGGGCCGGGGTCGGGTCGGGCTACCGGGCCGGGTTGTCCATGCCCAGGTTTACGTTAAAGCATGTCATTGCAACATTGTCGAATCAGCCGAGTTGCCGCCGCAGCATCACCGCGCAATCGCCACGGCTGTCGAAGCATGTCGTTGCAACATCATTGATGCGGCCGGGCCTCCGTCGCAGCACGCTCGTAGCATCGCCACCGACGCTGTCGAAGCGGCCAGGCTTCCGTGACAGCACGCCTCATAGCTTCGTCATCGTCGTCGAATCGGTCGGGCTTCCGTCCAAGCATGCATCGTAGCATCGCCACTGCCGCCGAAGCGACCGGGCTCGTCGCAGCATGCCTCGTAGCATCGTCGCCGCTGTCGAAGTAGTCAGGCTTCCGTCACAGCATGCCTGGTAGCATTGTTGTCGTCGTCGAAGTAGTCGGGCTCGCGCCCTCACACTACGTCCCCAACAGCCGGACCACCCCTCGCGACATCGTCATCTCGGCTTGCAGCGCATCTGACCTAGTACGCAACAGCCACCCCACCGCTGTATTTGAAGCAGCTTTTGTCCTTTTTTGCATGGTAATACGTGCCTCATTTATATCATAAAGAACATTGTACAAGCCACATACATACCAACCTGACAAAATTGAACCATTAGCAGAACGCTAGCCTTTGCACAATGGAACGCCAGCCAAGAAGTAAAACTGTAAACAAGACTGAAGAAATCTCTGAGCTTGACACCGATGCCCGTCACCTGTCTCTGGCAGCACAACAATCACCAAAGGAAATAATGACGAATCACCTCCACACCCGAGCTCGACGCGGCTCCATTGCTGATATGCAATTTTGCGGACCTCCAAGGTGGCTTGCCAAAGGCGAAATCATTCCCGTTGAAAGAATCAGACCAGGGCAACACCCCAGTCATGCCATCAAACTCCAGATCTGACAACCACACACGACTAAGATGTCGGAGGAGGACACCATACCTGCCATCCACGTATCACGAACCCAGCACACGATCCACCATCTTCCAGATGCCGTCGATGCAGACCACAATCTGCATCCGCTCCTTGAGTACGTACCTCCCGAACTCCGCGCCGGCGCTGGAGCAAACGCCGCCATAACGATGAAGCCCGAGGACACAGGTCCACCAAGAGGATGCAGTTGCCGCTGCACATTCCTTGCTTGAACAGATTGGATTCCAAATCCATCCCCAACCATAGGACCGATTGCCTTTTCGGAGTAGGAACCGAAGAAACTTTATTTAGCGCCGACATCGCCTTCGCCGAAGCCAAGATGATGAACAACCTAAAAACTAAGCAACTTTGGCCTAAACCTATCCACACGCGTGGATCCGGCGACCCCCCTCACCACCGACGACCGAGGTCATCGGCGAACGAGAGCCACCGGAAGGTGGCGGCGGAAGAAGCTCTTCGTGAGGGAAGGCGAGGTCGCCTTTCTTTTCTCTCTTCAACAGTTACTGTCCTCGCGTGAGCATGTATGACTTGCTTCTTTTTTTGGCAATGGACGACTTGCTACTTATAACTTTACCTGAGCTAAAAACAACTTTTCATTAAACACAGTGCAGACGCAAGCACTCATACATACGTGCATACACTCACCCTTATGAATGCACACATGGACACCCTACCTCTATGA